AAGCAGTCAATCGTTACATATTTCACTAATTTACAAATCGTCTACTTGTAATTTAAATTCAACAACTTAAATGAAACGAAGTTAACGAAAAGGAATGGCGTAAGAGAATATGGAATAAAACCTATCCCACGCTGCATTTAGTTTAGGGTCATTCGAGGTTGGCTGACTAAAAATTACGCTGTACACATGTTGAGTTTTGAAACTGATTTCATTTTCCGTCAGGGTATGCACTAACGAGCCCATACCATTCACATATCTGTGAATACACATATAAATATTAACGCAATGTTCTTCATAATCATGTGAGCTGATCTAAATGAAAGTACTGCTGAGCAGTATGCAAAACTAACCTTGGATAGCTATCGTCCATCATAGGTCATACACATGACCATTGTTGAAATCAGTAAATTGTTGCGTATTATAAACTTACAATCGTCGTGATGCTTCTAATTGCAGCTTCCCTACTGTGACAATGCAATGGTGTGCCAATAGGTGCCCCGCTGCTAACTGCGTATTAGCTTCTTTTCAATTTCGTCAACTGTCACATCTTTTGGAGCAACTTCTGTATATTCCCAATGTGGTGCGCATTTACTACACGAAGGCGACTCATGCAAAACTTGTCGCACTTTCCGCTGTGCGCCTGCTTTCAATTTACCAGCCGCGGTAGCCATGTATAATAAATTGGCGTTTCTACTGATGGTTGCATCTCTTGTAGTTTCTTCGGACTCTACACATGCTAGAGCGTGATTATTTCTTTTTTATTAGCTGGGAGGGCTTCCCGCGAGTACTTTAGAGATGACGACTCGGAAAATAATGTAGTCGCTGCATTTAAGTATGTTACGCCAGCAGCAGTTGCGCCTCCCTCTTTTATTGAACTTGAAAATATGTATTCAATTAAAATATATAAAACGTTTACAAATTACATAACTTACCATTTCCACATAATACTGCGTACGACCTCGTGATATATTTCAGAATGACATTTATGTCATTCAGTAAATTGTAAAGTATGCCAATGCAGTGCAACCAGTGATGGAAAAAGAGGTACCATTATGCTCCTTTCAGATCTGCTTAAGTTGAAATAACTTTCGGTACAAGCATGCAATTTAAGCATATTTGCCACATAAAATCCCAC